CCCTTATGCATGCTCCTTTATGCATGCTCCCCTATGCATGCTCCCTTATGCATGCTCCCCTACAGCATGCTCCCCTACAGCATGCTGACATTGCTGCCAAATCATGACACATAATCATTGAGCACCGCGCACCGTGCGCATGCCAATACCCTGGAGCTCGGACCGCGGCAGTCTGTTTGTTCTGCACTGATTATGTACCGTGCGCATGCCAATACCCTGGAGCTCGGACGGCGGCAGTCTGTTTGTTCTGTACTGCATATTATGTACTGGTATGTGAAAATCACGGAAGGCAGCAACCTCCTTGTACTAAGTTGTAGTTTGCTTAGGCACTGAGCATCGAGCGGTGACTCCGAATCAGACTCTTGATGTGCCTGCAAGACACGAATACAGACATTGGTAGAAGTCCTCCTCCTCCTCCTCCCCAGATAGCCGGTAAATGTATACACCTACCCCCCCCCCCAGCCCCCCGCCCCCCCCCCCGTCTCGTCCCCCCCCCCCGTGCCCGTCGTCATAGTACAATAGAGTCTACCTGCAAGTTACTTGAAGAATTTGAATATCATGACTTCTTGAACTCCCTCCGACTTTACTAGTTCATGTACGTGGCTGACATTACTCATTAGTACTGCAACGCAACACTACCCTTGAGGTAAAGAGAGGACACAACATGTTAACACTACCCTGGCCTTGAGGTAAAGAGAGGACACCGCACTACATGTACATACGAAACGGCTCGGATTCGGGCCGAACGGAGGCATCGCTGGGCTCATTCATCTGCGGCAGTACTGCAACAAGTCGCGGGAAGAAGTTGTGTACAATGTTACCATATACATGTACCAGGATATGCGCCTAGCTACTAGGTCACTAGGTGGCCATGAAGTCGAGACCCTAGGTCGGCGGAGCTCCCTAAACCTCACCACCACTGCCACGATTCATGTTGTGCGGGCTTCCCCTAGCTGCATCTCATGTTTGGCATTTAAGCGATCTTTGTTTTTGTTTATAAATTCTAGTATGCAGTCATTCCCTTGGTTGTTGTGACTGTTTTTGTATTTGTACGAGAGATGTGGAGATGTGTGAACCTGCAGACGGTACTGGAAAGCAAGCGGAAAAAACCGTGTTTGACACTTTGGCAATGCGCCAGTGCGGTCCGTCCACACACAGGTGCGAAGCACGCGATCGCGTGCGCACGCACGCACGCACCCACACACAAACACACATACCTACACACACACACACACACACACACACACACACACACACACACACACACACACACACACACACTCACACACCACACACACACACACACACACACACACACACACACACACACACACACACACACACACACACACACACACACAAGGACCCACACACACACTCTGAGCTATTCACGTATGCGGGGTGCAAGGAGACTTCCTGACTCAACTCACAAACAAAACGCTTGCCAAACCTGTCCCTGAACAATGCAAAGTCCGACAGCACGCAGCGACGTTACGTAGCACAAAGTATAATGGAGGACATCACCTGGGCAAACTGGAACGTAACAAGACAACATCTCTACTAGCTTGTTTGTGCCATTTCTGGTTCTCATCCATTTCCGCGTATGAGGCCACCGGCGCTAAGTCGACGTTGCCTGAGGACCTCGCGATAATGATAGAGAAAAAACATCTCCCGTCCTTGTACGCCGGCATTTGTCGATCCGACCCGGATCCTTTTGTTTACCCTGTCACACACATTCGGCAAGCCAGAAATAAAAACGGTTATAATGAATAACATGTCACGACAGCAGCATCACTCTCTCTCTTTCAGACTTTCATAGAGTACAAGCTTGCTGCTTGCGTCTTTGGAGGAGGCCATTTTGCTACTCTCTGTTAGTTGCGATCGTCCATGTTTCGAAAGCCATTCACATTGTTCAGGCAATAGGTCAGTCGGAGAGACACGTACAGGCGACTAGGACATGCCCGTGTACATATATGGCAATAGTAAGGGTAAGGTTGGGGTGACCAGTCACATGTTGTGGGCATGCATGGCGACGTGGCGCATTCTTGTAGCATAAGTAGTCACATTGTCATTGGCGCTGGCAGGAAAGCAAATCATTGTCGCACGATAACATTTGTACACTGTGGCAAAGATCTGGATCTTATTCCTGCTTATAATCTATACTACATTATCCTCTCCATTCTATCTCCCTTCCGTGCCTGCTTTTTCTCCCCTCCCCATTCTCTTTCAGCCCTCTTCTCTTCTACGTCGTCTCCTTGTGAGAAGGCACCATTGCCTGTTTGCCTGTTTGCCTGTTTGCTTGTTTGCCTGTTTGTTTGACTGACTATAAATGCAAGCACAACAATAACAACAGTATAACCATGAGTACATGTATGTCTGCACAATGTCAATAACTTATTACTCACTGCCGCAGTGCCGCGCCGTACACGGTAGTAAGGATCTATTGTACGGAATTCTGAAAGACATTACCGAACGCACACACACACCCACACGCACACACACACACACACACACACACACACACACACACACACACACACACACACACACACACCTCAGACCTCAGACATGCCCATCGCGGAAGCGATGATAGCGAACAGCTATGTTAGACATAGCAACTTGTGCTGGAATTACACCATTCAACAGCTTGCAAGGCTGATGAATTGACCGCCACTATTTTTAGCCTGGTATCCACCACACAGCTGTTTGAAGTGACTTTTTCTGGCCAGTGAATCCCTATTTTTCATTTTTTTCATTTTTTTTTCTTTTTTCTTTTTTTCTACACACACACACACACCACACCACATACTCCGGCATACACTGGCTGTTGGTAACCACCCCCCCCCCCCACACACACACACACACATCCATGATCCACTGCATTATAATACAAACGAACACATCGTGATCGTGCATCTACATGATTGTATACATGTATGGAGATCTCACTGCACTGTCAATGTTGGTAGGCAGGTCGTGCGTGTCTCCTGACTTGTGCAAGTAATAGTTGTGCTCCAAACTGGGTACAATGATTCTGTACTGTAGTCCTAGACGCTGCTGCTAGACGCCTGTCATGTCTCATGTCTCATGTCTCATGTCTCAGGGGTGCACGCACCTGGTCAGTCCACTGACGCCACGACTGAGTACAATCATGAGTGCTGGGATACTGCCGACCTGTCAGTGCCAGACAGTGGTGTGATCGGCAAGCACCCTCCGCAGCTCCAGTGGCTTCAGTGACAGTGCGGTACAGTGCGGTACAGTGGCTCCATGATCCAGTGGCTTCAGTGCGGTACAGTGCGGTACAAGGATATGCACGGTACATACACTGTACTCTACTGGCTACAAATTACAATGTCAAACTAGCAACGACGTTACGACGTTGCGTGTCGTTTGCAGTGAACAGCCTTATAACCAGACCATAATAATTATTATCCTGCTTGGCCAACGGGTCTTGCTTGCTTGCTTGCACGTGTCCGAAGAGACAGGACAAAGCAACTCCGGGGTACTGGACTGTAGTAGGTTGACGACGTGACAGAACGCAACGTCTGTCTCCCGTCTGTTGTCTAGCGCCATGCATCACGTCAAATCAATGACTCAATGTGCTGCAGGATCGAGGCTTGGGTCTCCTGGTCCATAGCCATTAGTAGCAACAGCTCCCAAGAGTGTGCAACTCAAAATATTAGTATTATGACGGGGTGTGGGAGCACACACTCTTGCCAGGTGGTCATGGCTCTCCACACTAGCCGGTGGTCATGTCTCTCCACATTAACCGGTGGTAAACGCGTAGTGCGAAC